AGGTGTCCCATGGTTGAGTGGGCAGTGCCCTGGCACGGGAGGGCATTGCTTGTCCTGCTGCAGGGAGGTGCCCTGCTCCATCTGCCCCATGGGCTTGGCCTGGCCAAAGCACAGCAGGTCACAGACTGGCTCTTCCCTCCCCAGGAGGGAACTGCTCCTGCAGAAGTTGGCACCTCCACCTACACCTTGATAGGCAGGTGTGGGCAGCATCACTCTTCCACTGCCCTGCTCCCAGTGCAGGTGCCTGCTGCTGACCTCACCCAGCAGCTTCCTGCTGCTGGGACTTGCTGGAGTAGGTTTGCTTGTGAGCAGTGACTTTTCCACCACCGTCACCCCCCATGTATCCCATTTCAGCTGAGAAGGCAGGAGGGCTTGCACTGGGTTTGAAAGCTCTGGAGGGCTTGCCTAGTGCTGATGTCCTTCCTGGTGTTTGGAGCAGGTGAGCGCCTCTACCCTCTGGTCTGCTCGATGCATCCCTTGCTGGCTGGCAAGATCACTGGGATGCTGCTGGAGATGGACAACTCCGAGCTGCTGCTGCTCATGGAGTCCCCTGACTCCCTGCACTCCAAGGTAGGAGTCACTTGGTGCCCAAACACATCCCTTTCCCAAGGGCTGACTCCCTGCTGCTGCAAGGAAAGGTGACCCCAGCCCAGGAGAGGGGCTCAGGACATGGGTTGCCAGGGGAAGAGCAAGGAGCTGCTGGATTTATTTTCAAGTGAAGAAGGAGCCCCAGGTTGATGTCACCACACCCAGTGTCACCCACCTTCAGCAAAAGGAGAAACTTGGAGCAGATCCCTGAAAGCACAGGCCAAGCTCTGAGGGTGGTTTGGAGGTGACTGGGAAGTAAGAGGGGGGAAAAGCAGGTTGGGTGTTGCTCCCTGGAAGGAGACAGGGAGATGCTCTTTCCTGAGAATAGAAGGCAGATAAATGCTGGCTGTCTGCAGTGTTTATTCAGTTTTCTCCTTAACCCTGTTGAATATTTAGCTTTGATTCCAGTTGCAGTGAATCGATTGCATCTTCTTGGAGGCAGGATCCACTTTCAGCCTTTCACTGATTTTTTTTTTTTTTTAATTTTTATTTTTTATTTTGGAGGAGTCTGGGCTCTGCTGGGTAGTGTCAGGCGGCTTTACCTGCAGAGAAGCCCCAGAATTTCCCTTGGGAAGAGACAGGCAATGTCTTTGGGCTGATCAGTCTCCTGCAGAAGCAGCAGACCTGGATTTTATAATTATGATTTAAGTCCTTTACCTCTTGGAAGTGGTTCTGTGCAGAGACCAAGTCGGGATCTGGAATACTGAATTCCTGGTGCAGTGCACTCCTCCACTGGAGCAACTCAACTTCCCCTTCCTTGTGTTCTCTGTTGTAAGATCGAGGAGGCAGTTGCTGTTCTCCAAGCACACGAGGCCACGGAGACCTCCCATAAGGGCAGTGCCTTCCTGCAGTGACTCCAGGTGGGTGCTGGGAGCTGTGCATGGTGTGCTTGGGGTCTCTGGTTTCTCACTCTGAAACTGGGGATTGAGTTTTCTCATCCAGACCAAGTAAAGTTTGATGAGTAACATAAGTATCTTTGACTGTAATGTTCCGTTTCTTAAACTGCACCCCCCATTTTCCAGACTTAGTCCAACTGCAGAGACCTTGTTCTGTGTGGGTTTTTTCTGTGTTGATGAAGGCAATCACTGTGCAACCAGAAAGGAAGATGGGAAAGGACCTTGCTTTTCTGTGGGTCTAGTGGGGACCAGCACAATCTTTCCTGGGACTTTTTTTTTTTTTTTTAAATTAGAATCTTGGCAGGAGATACCCTATAAAATATCCTTTGTGGGCTTTATCAGGAGAGCTGGTCCTGCTGCTGCAGCTGGGACAGACACATTAACAAGCAATTGAGGCTCTCATGTACCCTTATCTTTGAAGACAGTATTTTCCTGACTTGTGGTATAAATGAAATTGTGTGTAATCTGAGTTCAGGTGAATTTCATCTTGTCTGGTTGAAATTCTTCCTTTAGCATTTGAAAACTCTATTTGGGGGTTCTCTGTTTCTTGTAGGCTCCGGGACTGAGAGTGAGCCCTAAGAATGTTGCCTTTGAACAACAGGAGCAGCAACCCCACCATGCTGTTGGAATTACACCTGTACAGAGACCCTGCCTTGCCTTCAGTGCCCCATCCTAACGTTCGTGTGTGTTTGTAAACCTTGTAGAATTCCTTTCTCCTGCACCTGTAAAAATCCCCACATTAAATCTCTTCTCACCACTGAAAGCACTGTGTGAAATGTAGTGTGGAACCCAGCCTGGATCAGTTGCCCAAGAAATAACTGCTGGTGAATCATCATTTTAGTGAATTTATTGGGTAATGGAGTTTTACTTGTTCATGTAGTTGACACTAATGAAGAACTGATGCTTCCACCCTCGAAGCATGGGTTAGTTCCCTTTGCAGAAAGACAGCCAGTGCTTTGTTTCAGGCAGGTGGAGGGATGGACTTTAGTAATTAGTGTTTGAAGTTTGTGATGCTGGTGGGGTGGCAGTCCTGAGAGCTGACAGAAGGTTCTTTCTGATTCTTAGGAGGATGGATTTAACCAAATTTCATACAATCTACCTGGATTTTATCCTCTCTAGATAGCTGTTTTAAACTTCCTTTTAGAAGGCGTCATCTTCCTGTGGTTCTCCTTTTGTAATGGACCTTGTACTCCTGCAGGACTGGCCCTGAATGTCTTCTGCTGGTCACATGGGGGCTGTGTGTGTGTCTGTGGTGCACAAGATCCAGCTTTTGAGGTATTGTGCAGTAGCTGTAAATCAAAAGCTGCTTCTCCAATGTGTTCCTGACCGGTGGTGTCAAGGAGTTGCTGAAGGGCCTGAAACCACATCGTGTCCCACTGGGATGCTCCCTGCTCACAGGAGTAGGTGGGACCTGTGTTGCTGTCATCATCCTGGCCTTAATCCTCTGCTCTTCCTACTTAGGGAAGGCACTTCAGTCCCTAGAAGCTCCTCAGTGCTTGAGGCTGGCGATGCACTGACCTCATTTGACTGCTTCCTTGAGCTGGCAGGAGCAGGAGAACACCTCCACCAGCACCACCCACCCTCTTTCTGTGCAGCTTGTGTACTGCTGGTGGTGTCTCAATCTTCCTTCTGTGCTGTATCATACTCTCACTTCAGCTCCCTGCTGAGTCACCCCTCCTACCTCTTGTTTTCCTTCCAGCATTTTAATAGAACCGTTTACACATTTGCTCCTGCTCGGCTGGGACTCTGCCCTGGGGCTTCTCATCGTTCCTTTTTCTCACCTTCATTTTGCCAATTCTCCCTCTGACCTCCTTCAATATTTATTGTCCTCTTAGTGGATTCCTCAGCCTGAACTGTGTGCTGTTTAGATATCTTCTCCTCAGTGAGATGCTTATGAAGGACTTTACTAGCTTAATATACCCGACCTTCATTTGAGTTGTTATTTCTCTCGAAGCATAACTGGCTGGAAGTTTTTTCTGCTTTGTCTCTAGAGGAAAAATGTTTATTTGCATGAGTGTAATGCACGTAAGGAGCTGGAATAGGCCTGTACAGGTAAACTTCATTCTGCTGTTGGTTAGGTTGGCTGCAGGTATGCCTGTGACAACACCTACGATGCCAGATGGCTGGGCTGGGTGAATGTTCTGTAAAGCCAGAGGGAATGCAGAGTGGGGGCCAGGAACACACCAATGTTGGAATAGGCTAAGAAAGGACCTGAACAAGGACCAGGGTCTTGAAATTTTTTATCAGCAAAAGGTGAAGTTGGTGCTTGGATCCCTGGTAATACTGGAAAGTTTTCAGAATAGCTCCCTGGCTGGACTCCTGGGGAAGTCTGAGGCTTTAGGGAGTTGAGGCAGGAACAGCAATGCAAATATGAGTCTGGAGGCTCCAGTCTGAAATAGCTGCTGTGAAAGGGGCAGATGCTGTGTCCCTGTGACAAACCCTCTCCAGCTGCTCCTGTGGACAGCACTCCCTTTGCTCACCAGGGCAGTGTCCTGCATGAACAGCAGCACCATGGCTGGAACAGGAGAGTCAGGAGCAGAAGTGACCCCCCCCAGCTTGCAGTGGTGTCTTGTTGCTGTGCTTGACCTTTGCCTGCCTGGTGGTATTGCTGGGGAAAGCCTTGGAGGTGAGGCACAAACAGCACTGATGTTGCTGTGAGGGGAAGGAGGGTGAATGCTGGTGCTGCAGGGAGCTGCAGTTGAACAGGGCAGGAATCTGCCATCAGGGAACAGCAGGGCTCTCACAAGGACAGCTCTTGACTAGGTGAAGCCAGTCCTGCTCCTGGATTCTGTGACCTTCCTCTGCTTCTCTGTGTGCTGCTTCCCCACCCTGAAATCCATCCCACCTGCCAGGAGCTTGGGCAGATGCTGGCTGTGGGATCAATGGAGCTGCCTCACTTGGAAGCGGGAGTGGAGTGAATGGAGCCATTTGTGCCCCTCAGGGAGGAGTTGTTTCAAGCCCTGGCCCATTACAGCTGATGGAGTACAGCCCTGGGACCTACAAAAAGCTATTTTATGTCAGGCTAAGGAAAGAAGTCTTTGTCTTTAATGGCATTAGAGGGATTGTCTGCTCTCTAAATTCAATTGGTGCAGTACTTGCCTCAAACACTGACTGCTGGGAGAAGCAAGGTGGGAAACTAAGATACTTGAACCCTGACTTCAGGGCTGGCTTCTATCTCCTGGCCTTTATTGTGAGGTGGATCAGGTCTAGCATTGTCCAGCATCTGGACTTACCAGCTGAAGCAGTGTGCAAGTGAAAATTGGTTGGAAACCCTAAAGCAGTGCTGTGCTTCCCACTGGCATGCCCTTCCCAGCCCCAGTGTCCCTGGAGCTGTAGGCTTTCTTGTTCTGAGCCCTAACTTTAATGGCCACTAAGAGCTGAGGCCACTGTCTGAAAGAGCAGGGCCCTGTACAGTGCTTGAAGTGCTCTGACAAAAAGGGGGGACAGTGTGAAGTGGTTAAAGAAGTGTTTCAGTTCCCCTATACCCTCCATCCCATAAAAAACACAGCTCTAAACTGAAAATAAACATGGCTTTAATGGTTTTAACAGTTCACAGAGTAACTCCAACTATCTCTTTACCTACCATTTTAAATCAGTGCCATCAATACCAGATCAGGAGAAGAACAAAAAGCATAAACATGCATTGAAGTAGTAAGCCAGACCTCAGCTGGGATGTTACTGAAAATTCTCCTCCCTGTAACACCCCGTAGCAACTGCTCCAAAAGGCACAGAGGAGCTAAAGTGGTTTTTTTTTAAAAAAAAAAAAAGACAAAAAACCATTGCAAAATTCCCAAGCACCCAGAATCTGTAATAGTGCACAGTGTAACAAGGCAGGCTGAACTTGCTGCTGTTTTCTTAAATGTGCAGAATAACTAAAGAAAGCTGCTACTGTAAACATCTGCCCAGCCACACTAAGCAGCAGAACCCAGCTGAGGGCCAGCAGGCATCAAGGGGGTGAGGGAACAAGCTCAGCCCTGTGCAAGTAACTGTGCCCCTGTTACAAGAAGGGTATGTGGTGCTCTGGCAACTACAGCAGTTCTTGCAGCCACCTTATTTCAGTAAGAGCAGCACAAATGCAGCAAAACTGTCACCTGAATAAGGACAAAAACCCCTCTGTTCGTAGCTCTTCAGAAAGAACAGCCACTTCACATGCAGCTCAGCCAGCATGGAAAGAGTCCCTGAGGCCAATAGTTACAGGCAAGTTGACTTCAACCAGGGAAGGGAACCTCCCAGCCAGGGAGGGGCATTAAAACTATGCATGATCTTAGAGCCATATTAATAGAGTTTGATACAGATTGTGTCTTAACATTCCTTATGCTGGTACAGAACCTCTTAGATCTCAGCAGCAGTGGAAGATAGATTTCAATACCCATCCTGCATCAAGATTGGTCCCTGTAACAACATCAGAAGGGAAAAAGCTTTCTCCTGTAGTGGAAAACAAAGCTTCCCTTGTTGCTTGGTTACCCTAGGCTCTGTTCAGTTCTTGAAGTAATCTCAGTGCAGCTGTGTTCTTTGGTTCAGTTTTCAACAAGCTCTTGATATCAGCAATACTTGATTTGTAATCCTAGAGAGAGAGTATTTTTTAAGGGTTAGTGCATTAAAAATGCAGTTTAAGGCTGCAGAACTACTACTCAGGAACAGAGGCAAAGGCAACACAAGTAAGCCTGTGACTCCCTCTCTATAACTGCTCAAGCCCTGGCATTGATGTAGCTGTTCTAAAACATGCTTAAACGAGGGCTGAGAAGATAATTTCATGGCTCAAGTGGGTTTTGAGTCCAAGACCAATGCACTGCATAGTCCAGTATACCTCCAGAATTTCTCACGAGACACAAGATAAAGCTCAATACAACACACAGCTGCTTTCAGCATCTCTAGGAACGGGACCTGATGTGGAAAAACTCATGAGATCCAAATACTGATGTGAAAGAAAATGCCCTCTCAGTCCATACAGGTCTTAGCTATCTGTTGGCAGATGTTGTCTAGCACAGAAACAAGTTCTAAAGGACACCTATGGCTCTGATTATGCACAAACAGGCATCTAGTCCTAGGCTAATGCCCTTCAAAAACTCCTGACTTACCTTCAGTTCTTTAAGTGCTTGAGCACGCCTGTAGAGTGCCTTCACGTTCTTAGGATCTAACTTTAGAGCTTCTGTGCAGTCCTGTGCTGCCTCCCTGTATTGCTTCAGGGTCAGGTAACAGAGAGCTCTGCAAAACAGATACCTGGTTAGAGATCTCTGGCTGAAAACAGCACCTACTGCTGCAGCATACAGAGCAGGTTCCAGTGGAGCACAAAGCTGGGCTCCAAAACCAGCCTTGATTCTCACACGTTATGTCATCTTACTTCTTGAGCTCAAGTTTATTTTAGTTAAAAGGAGGGAAAAAAAAGGAAATGGTTTTTCGGTTTAAAGAGGGAAAAAAAAGGAGGATGTTTAGAGCAACCTGCTCTGAAGCTAAAGAATCTCTACTTTGAGGTTCCTGTCTATACCAGTGCAGCACGTGTTCTGCTTGCTGCAACTGTCTTAGAAGTACTCTAAGTACAGTACTCTGTGGTTTGTAGGACAATACAGACCACTCAGAATACCCCAGTCCTGGCAGACAAAGCATTAAAGGGAGTAGGCCCTAAAGTGTCTCCAAGGGGTTTGCAGTACCTGATCAAAGAATGTTACACTACAGCAGAGACTGCACTTGGGGTGGATGTGTGTAGGTGGTTTTATTTGTTAGTTTGGGTGCAAACATTAGACAGCTCTGTCAGAAGTACCACAGTGACCTTTATAAAGGGCCAAGAAGTACTTGGGCAAAGAGCTGAGCAGTACCTGTTGGTGTAAGTTGCACATTCCTGGTTGAGCTTTAAACTCTCAGTGTACTTCTCAACCGCTCTTTTATGGTTTCCTTTCTTTACGAGTTCATTTCCTTCTTCCTTCAGAGTCTGAGCTCTCTCCATGCCAGCAGCAGTTTGGTCTGGAAACAGTGTGAAAGGATACAGAACACCATAAAACCAACAAGAACATCACAGCATCCCAGAAAACAAATACCCCCATATCAGAGGTGAGACACCGAGACATCAAAGGGACCAGAATCAACGAAAAGGCTGTGGCAGAGCCTGGCCTGGGTCTCTCCAGGCTGCAGCCCCAGCTGCAGACACACCGAGCAGGTGTGGCAGCTGTGTTGTTCATCACCCTTGTGAGCTGCAGGGCTCTGTGCCCAGCCCAAGGGCATGCTCCCACCTGGTTTTCCCTGTGGTGCAGTTGCAGGAGGAGTGTTTGCCCCAGGGGCTCCGGGAGAAGGAATGCTCCACCTTGTCTGGGCAGAAACAGGCACTGTGGGGATTGGCGGCAGCTTCTGACGCCAGTTCACGCCATCCTTCTCCAGCAGGGCTTTAGTCATCCTGGAAGAGACGCTCCCAGTCACCCTGGCTGTTGCCTGGATGGGCCACACAGTAGCCAGAAGGGTCACTTTTTAACCCAGCTTGTGTACCAAGGACAGCACCTCTCCCCTGATCTTTTTACATCCATCTCAACTAGGTTCCTTCTACAGACAGGACATTTATGAAAAGATCTTCTTTGTGTCAGCAGGGCTAAAAATATCACAGGACAAGGGCTGGGGCTGTCAGTGCTCAGGTGAGCAAGAGACATGCATTTCACTCCTCAGTCTGGCAAGCCATGAACCGAAACAGAAAGCACCAGGAAGAGAACAGGACTAGAGCAGCCTGTAAATGCAGTCAGCATTGAGAGGCTTAAAGGATAGGGCACTAGAGCTTGTATTTTATTATTTCCCTTAGACCAGACACTGAGCAAAGCAGAAACAGTCCCAGAGAAATCAGCCAGCATCTTGAAAGGACTTATGGGCTCAGGCAGACAGAGGGAGTATGGCCAGGCCTTGCTTCACTCAAGCTGGGGCCCAGCTTGCTCCTGACAGCGCTGCAGGGATGCAGCAAGGCTGGCGGCAGTAGGACCCTCGCCTGCCGGCGTTACCTGTTGACTCCATCGTGCGCCGCCTGCACGGAGCAGTCCACCTGCAGCGCGGTCTTGTAGTCCACGTAGGCCAGCGCGTACCTCTCCAGAGCCTCGTAAGCCGCCGCCCGCCTCAGGAGGGGCTTGATCCCGAACGGGACCAGCTCGAGGGCGCTGCGGCAGAGGGGGCACAGCGGGGTGAGCCAGCGCGGCTCCGGGGCGGCCGCTCGGCCGGGCCGGGGGAGCAGCCGAGCGCCCTCCGGCCCGCCGGTGACCCCGGCCCCGCTCACCTGGAGCAGTCGGACACGCAGAGGCTGCAGGCGCCGTCCTTGAGGTGGCAGGCGGCGCGGTTGGCGAGCAGCACGCTGCGCTCCTCGGCGGCGGCATCCCCTGCGCGGGAGAGCCGGGATCCAGCGGGGATCCAGCCGGGATCCAGCCGGGATCCAGCGGGGTCCGCCCGCCCGCCCGCCCGCCCCTTCCGCCCCGGGACGCGCCCGTACCTGAGGCCTCGAGCTGCTCCAGCGCCCGCGTGTAGAGCGCGGCGGCCGGGCCGTACTGCCCGCGGCGGAACTCCTCGTTGCCGGCCCGGCGCAGCGCACCGGGGGACGCGGCCATCGCGCCCGGGAAGCCGCGCCCTCGCCGGGCCGGGGCGGGCGCTCCCCGCGGCATCCGGCGGCGGGCGGAAGCGGCGGCGGGGCGGGGAGTCATGGAGCGCTGAGGGACGGAGCGCCGGGATCGCCGACTCGCCGACATGGAGACGGTGCAGCTGCGGAACCCGCGCCGGTAAGCGCGGGGCGCGTCCCCGCCGGGGATGCTCCGGCCTTGGGAGCGGGGGGAGCGGGGCCGCTCCGAGCCTGCCGGAGGGGCGGCGGGGGTCGGTGGCTTCGCCCCGAGCGGCGCCGGCAAGCGCTGGGACAGCACCGGGCGCAGGTAGTGGGGAAATGGCTCAAGCTGCAGGGCCGGGGAGAAGGCGCCGGCTGCGGGCGCTCGCAGCGGTACCGCGGCTGTACCGAGGTGTGCCCACCTGTGCCGGCCGAGCGACAGAGCCCCGGCCGCTTGTTTTTCCCTCTCGTCTCTGTCCGGGTGAGTTCCGTGCGGGTCTGCTGCCGCCGGGGCCGTGCCCAGGCTCGGTGCCCTGCCCTGGCACCTCCGCCGTCCCGCCGGGCCCGGAGCATCCCGGGGTTTGGGCTGAGCTCCATGAGCCGCCTATCTCGGAGCGCCAGGCCGGGCCGGGCTGCGGAGGGAGAGCGGGAGATCGGCGGCAGCTTGAATGAAGTGTCCGTGTCAGAATCATATCAGCGGCTTGCAGCTGGGGCCCAGGGAATCAGCAGCGAACAAAGGAAGCTGCGGGCGCTGCTCCTCAGTGAGATTGGCTTGGTTCGTTAAACGGACAGCGATGTGTCTTCTGTTAAAAACAAAAGCTGGGTTTTATTCTGTAATTGCATATGCCGGTGCTTAGCTGGCAGGTGATTCAGATTAGATCTGAATAACAACAAAGGTGAGGTTGGGTTTGTGTTGCTGTTATATCCGCGTTGTATAAACATCCAGGAGGAAGGCAGCGCGTGCCTGACAGCAGCGAGTGCTCTGCGTGAACCAGACAGCCCAAAGTATTTCGGCTCCTGGTCTACAGCAGAAATCAGGTTGTTTGCTGCAGGCACGGTGGTTGTCTGGTTATTGTGTCTGGGTATGTTCAAAGCCTTTTTTTCCCCTTTTATGCTAATAGAATTTAGGCCTCAACTTCAGCAAGAGGGGTCTGCCTCTCCCATCACCACTTTTTGGGCTCTTTGGAAATGGTGGCTTATGTGGTCGCTGATGCATATATTAATTTCCCACACCCCCCCTTCCCACACCTTCTTCCCTCCCTGTTTTCACAAGGGCAAGTAACATTCTGTTTAATGCTTATCTGTGCAGGGAAGCTAGTGACTACTTTCAGTATTTCACCACTTCCTGAGTCTGCTTCTATATAATGTTTCCTTTGCTTCAGGAAGCCATTGTATGTGCTCCATGCTCGAGCTGCTCCTCCGGTGTGGCTTTTTTTATACGTAAATGTGATAGCCAGGGATCAATGAGTGGTTTCTCACTCTGCTTCTGAAGAAATTGGGGAAAAAAGTTATATATTTAGTTTAAAAATTAGTATGCCTTGATATTTAACAGTAGCAGTTCGGGCTTTCAGGAGTAATTTACAGTTGCAGGCGTTCATGCATATTTCACTTTAAACACTGATCACTGTGAGACCAGGCAGTGCTTAAAGCTCTGAGACTCATAAGTTTCTGTGTTTCAAAAACTCATATGAACTGATCTGGGGAGATTGGAGGGGTTTTTGTCGGGTGTTTTATTGTTGTTTCGGATATTTTAATTTTTTTTAGTTGGTGTGAAAATGAAAGAGCTTGTTTGTGGGTAGTTGAATACTGTATCATAGACAATAAAATACTTAGTTTTCAGAACTTTTTGTTACGTAGTCCTTAGCTGTTTCAGAAGGTTTGGTGAACAGCTCTCCATGTGGACAGAAACAAATATGATTGATCTTGTTGCTTTGTGTATGGAATCTCCCTAAAAGCTGTACTGGGGGAGAGGGAGGCCAAGTGCAGGATCACATCACATGGCATGAGTTTTTTTCCCCATAAAGTATTTCAACTGACTCATATTAGCAATACATTTAAGAGGCATGGCATTAAGATACTGCAATAGTCAGATACAGTTTCCTTTTTCTTTTTTCCTGATAGAATTTTCCTAGTATGTATCCAGGCCCGCAAAGTTAAGATCTGAACTTTTGATGTTAAAAATGTACAGGTGAGATCAGCATTGCCTCCTGCCTCCCAACAAATGTATTCCACTCATACTGTTGAGCATCAGGGAAGATGATGTTCCCTTTTGCTTGGCCTTGGTAGGTATCCTTTCATTCCAGGTATTGAAGTTTAGCAGATATGTTCAGTAGCTGTTAAACTCTATTGTGCTGGGATGTGACCACCAGCATAGAGATCCTGGAATGCATTTCTATCAAGACAAGCTGTAGAACATTCTATTCTTTGTAATTCCCAGTCCATTTTTGCTATTGGATGCTAATAATATTCACTCTTCTTGTCAGGTGAAATAAACTTACTTGATAATCAATTTACTTCATACCAAGTCTTTTGTACGTTTAAGTTGTGCTGTTTATTCTTCTGTTTCAGCAAAGCCCAAACTGCCATAAAATTAAATGCCACAATTTCTCTCTTCTTGCCCGTACAGGCAGCTGAAGAAGTTAGATGAAGACAGTTTAACCAAACAACCTGAAGAAGTGTTTGATGTACTAGAGAAGCTTGGAGAAGGGTACGTGTTCTGTTCAATGGGCCCCATGTACATGTCTCTGAGGACAAATCTGTGTAATGGGGGTGTGTTCAATGATCTCTGCTGTTTCATTTTTGTTGTGAGCCTATTTCTGCAAAGGTAGGTACTAACACAGTGACAGTGTTTGGTTAGTAACAGAATACAGAATTTGTTTCCCAAGAGTGTGATATCTTAATCCAAACAGTAGCTTATGGCTCAGCAGTAGGGAGTTGAAGCATTGTTGAAAAATGCCAGCCTGGAGTTGATTGAACCCTGTGGGAACTCAAGAGGTTTTTGTAGTTGATCCTGGGTACCTCTTGTGGAAGATCTGCCTGGTGGAAGTGAACTTCAGTAGCATTGTGCCACTTGGTGAGGCAGAGCAGCATGGGAACAGTGAGTGAGTGACGTGTTTGCTGCCTTAAGCAGTTCATTTGGAAAAACTGAGTTATAAATCTGCCTGGCTCCTGTATGAATGAAGCTGCAAATAAGAATGATAATATCTGACCAGGGCTGTAGTTCTTACTGGTGCTCAGATTGTACTGTATGCTGGAAAGAGAGAATTTTATTTGTTTGATTTGTGCAAAAGGCCATTCCAAAGCTATGGTCAATGCCATGATGGTTGGCTCTTTTCTCACCATCTCAGTGTGCTGTGACTTATTTGTTTTACAGTGTTTAGAACCTAGCTGAGTGATTATTTACATTAAAATACAAAATATTTTTAACAGAAGGATGTGTTTTCCCTGATGGTTACACTTGCAAAAAGCAAAGCCATAGTATTGGCATTTTTAAAATGTTAGTGCATTTCAGTGTTTGTTTTGTATTTTGTTTCCTAGGTCCTATGGCAGTGTGTTCAAAGCCATTCATAAAGAAACAGGTCAAGTTGTTGCAATTAAACAAGTTCCTGTGGAATCTGACCTGCAAGAGATTATAAAGGAAATATCCATAATGCAGCAATGTGACAGGTAAGTGTGTGCTGCAAAACCCATCATGGGGATGCAAGGAAGAGTGTCGCTGTGACCTGGCACTTCATCAAATAAAAGCTGTGATGTTGCCTTAAATGTTTTTTAAAAGGCCAGACTTGAACAATCAAGTTACCTCATGTCAGCTGAATCATGTTAACTGACCATATGGGTAGTGCAAAGGTAAGACAACAAAAATTCAGCTTGCAACAAGAGAGCACTAAGTGGAATAACCCTGCACTTGCTGCCAGCCCGGAGCCGAGCGTGTGAGCGGTTGCTGCGGTTCTGCCCGTGCGCCGTCGCTTGTCGAGCAGTGGTAACTTGATTGTGTGCTAAACAGCAGCTCCTGCATCCACAGGGGGAAATGGCTTCTAAACAAGATGTAGAAAACTCTTAGAAGAAGGGGTTTTTTTTGGTTTTGTTTTTAAGGGGCACGTGGATGAGAGCCACTAACGCATGACTGCTCTTGCATGTGCGCGACCTTCGTGCCGTCACCTGCTCGGGTGGCAGGACTGTCCTTCCCAGCTGTTTTCTGCCTGTGCAGGCTCCAGTGCAGGACCAGCTGATCTGAGCATCCCCAGAATAACTTGCTGGCAGCTCTGCTGATGGGCTGATGGTTGGCTCTCTGGGCTGTCTTTGCATGTTTTTATGGGAAAAGATGCTGCAGTGACTTAGCTAAGGAAGAGCTTGTGGACAGGGAAGACCCTCTCAAAATGTGCCCAAGGCTGAAGGTTTAAAATACACTCATTTCTTCTGGTGTTATGAATCTACCCTTAAGAAACACTACTTTGAAGGACTTGAGGCATGGAAAGCCATTTAAAATAAATTACATGAGCAGTATAAAACTGTGGTCCCAGTCACTTACTCTGACTGCACTCCACTCTCCCTGTGTTTAAATGCAGGTGACTGGGGGCAAACAGCAAAATGTAACTTGAATAGAAATTTCTTGTGAAAAATTTTACTGTGTAACTTAGAAAGCATTACTAGGTGTCTCTTAAATTAGATATTAATATCTTAAGGCCTAAAATGAGACCTTACAGTTGTGAACAGCAGAGGGAGTGAATCACTGGAGCATCACATTTTCTGTGCAAGCATAATGGGACACTGCAGTGTGACTGACCTGCTAGTTTTTGGTTTTTCATTAGAAAACGTTCAGCAGAGAATAGATTAAACACACCTTTGTTCCTTAGCTCCATTCCCATAAAATCAGGGACATTCTTTCTGTTATTTTCAGCTTTACCTTTTCCAGAGAACAGATGGTTTTTCAGACCAATGTACTTTACTAGGTTGTTTGTTTTTTTGTGCAGCCAAATAGCTCACAGAGAGGCAGTTGTACTGGGATCCTAAAATATATCCTGGGCTAAACTGTAGAAACAAATAGGTGCAGGTAGCAATGGGGGAATGTTCCTTTTAATGAACATGATAGCTGTTCTCCAACAAATTGTGGACTTTATTTAATGTTTCCATTTGGTGGCAAATGCTCTGCAGCAGCTTTACCAGGGACTGCTGTGGCTTGTT